TGAAATATCCAAAAGTAGAAAACAATTATTCTAACCTATTATTATTGAATATTTCACAAATACATTAAATTAATATCATTTTCATAATTTAATTTAGTGCTTCTAATTTTTCTAAAATATAATAAATAATTGTTTTGTAATATTATTGTTACATATTTTACGAAACTATGTTATCTGATACTGTTAATTCTTATACATATACTATCCGCTATACTACCCTAACTCTACTCTACTCTACTCGATTTATCGGACAGCATTGAGTTGTCATAAATCTTGAAAATACTAGATGCTTGTGCCTATCATATTTCTCGGCCCTAGTGAAACTAACTCGTACTTAATCCAACTCGAATTATCGTAAACAGCCTTTGCAATATCGTATTTTAGATATGATAACGTTAAAATACGTTCCGATATTCATTGCCAGTATTGCGATATATATATATATATAGTTTGTGTTACGCATCTTATAGTTTTTTGCTTACTGGATGAAAACTATGTTCTGATTGGTGCATTTCTGAAGATAGATGAAATGCTCCGATCAAAATAGAGTATTTCTATTCAGCAAGCAACCCAACACAAAGTACCGTGTGTCGTTAGTTTTAAGATTGCTTAAATTCGTTTTCAAATGCTCTGTAACCAGTATAAAGATTTGTATAGCATCTGATGATGAATATAAAATGATTTTAAATATAAACAGAGAGAAGCATGAGAGCGGTCACCAGCCTGATTTCAATTAGAGACCCTTGAATCAGAGTTCCAAAATAACGTCCCCGATTTGTATAGGTGCCGCTATGTTTTGTCAAACTAATAGCTATAGTATGACTGTGTACGATCACTATAGCAGGCGTGTAAGCAAAAGTAATAAACAATGCCCAGTTGTTGTGCGCCAAATTGTAATAATTCAAGTGTAAAAGACTATATCATGAAAGTATTTCCTTGTGATATAAATTGAAGAGTAAAATGGGCAGCCAATGTGGGGAGGACAAATTGGAGCCCAAACAATGGCTGCGTTCAGCAGAGAGAGCTGCTTTGCAACTTGTTGTAAAATTCGTGAATCTAATTGGAGCATGCTCTTAATTTTGGCTGAATCCAAGAGCATGTATCTTGGATACTTGCTACGTCACTTGAGTACTCTCCCTTTCTTTTTATCTCACTCTTGTATTTCGCTCACTCCAACGCAACAGGTACACTTGGGTAACGTTTCCGAACGCAGCCCAGATTCACGAATTTTACAACAGTTGCAAAGTAGTTTTCTCTGCTGAACGCAGCCAATAATTCATTTTTCTGCGAGATTATCTGCTGACATCGACTCTCATAAACATTTTTTAAATAAAACAATGTATACTAATTTATAATGCAATTTTATACCAAATTTTCACAAATTAACGATAAAGATATACGCGCCAAAGGTACGCTGTTTAGATGTAAGATAATATGTAAAAAAACAAGAAAATCAAAGAAATGATATTTTAATAGTAAGACTATGGCAATGCATAATATATAAGCAATAAATTAAAGTTTATTCTTTAATCCATTTAACTTATTTTCCTGCTATTCCAAGTACCATACTTTACATATTATATTTGCCGCTATGACTGCTTTCGACTTTTGACACGGCGTCACCGACGTAACTTACAAAATGTTATTTCGGGACTCTGATTCAAGGATCTCTAATTTCAATGGCCAAAGCTAGGCGCATTTTCGAGACGCCATCTAACAAAGTGCGTCTTTACTACGTTCGTTAGGCACATTTTCGCGGTAGTAACGATAAAATGCGTCCGATTCGTGCCCGTTGTATTAAGAGCCTTTATACGTAGAAAAATTTTAACCATAACCATAAGATCGTAAGAAAACTGACCACAGTCGATTATTCCTCGAACGCAAAGAGAATAATCAACTCTAATTGGTTAGTTTTCTTATAACTTTACGGTTATGGTTAAAATTTTTCTACGTGCAAAAGCCTTAAGGTGACCAGATTTCCTAGTCCTGAATTCGGGACACTTCATAAATGTGTGAAGCGAAGGCAGGAAAATAA